TGGGGTGTCGCCTTCCATTTCACATCCGTCGGGACATTCTGATTCATTTAGTAGTTTTTGACAGCACAGAGACTTGGAAAGGAAGAGTCCGTTTTCCACTGAAGTCTTAAGTTGAGTCATTCCACATTCCATCAGGACTGAAATGTCAGGTGAAACAAACGATACTTTCCTTGTATGTCCCTTGTTTAGCTGGCAGTACTGTGAAGAACAGTGTTTCGAGAGGTAAGCGCTGGGTACATTTGTCATTGATCTTCCAATGAGCCCAGAGATAGAGCACTGAGCATCGATATGGTAGTCACCAGGCCACACCTCGAGGTTTTGAAACATTGTACTAAGCAGCAATGCCCTCTGTGAATATATATCTGGGGTCACCCCATCTGTAGCTATAGATTTTACCAGCTGCAAGATGGGAGTGTCACTGTTCTTCCTTACAACATTTTGAAAAGCTGAGTTGTCACAGAAAGCACTGCATAAACACTGACAAAATGCATCAAATCCACACGTGTTAAACACAGAGAGATTTTCTTGGTCAAATCTACAAGGTCCAAGCTTGTTTCCGTTTTGTAATAGTCCCAACTTGAATCCTTTTGCCTCAAATGATGGATCTGCAAGAAGCTGTTCAGTGCAGGGAGGCGGACGAGAAGTTTTCTGCTTTTTCTGGGCTGGAAGAATTGGTTCCCTACTGTTTTCAACCATACCTTTATCTGTTGGATGATTGTTTGTTATTTGTTCCTGTATTCTTGTATCTTTTGAATGAACTTCCTGACCTGAATTCTGATGGATCTTTTCTGATACGTTTTTCTCACTTTGTGAGACCTTTAGCACATCTGATGCGGCGGTTGAAACTATTGCATGACATTCAGATTTTTGAACGGAGCATTTCCCTTTGGCTTTGCCATCATTTGATGTAGTCATTTCATTAACCTTTTCTTTTTTATTAGCTTTTTCCTTATTAAAGTCAGCAGATATACTTGTAAGTGTCTCCTTGGGTTTCGGCACAGGTTTCTGCTTGGTTTCCAAGTCTTGAGTGGATGAAATCTCCTGTTTTACCTTACATTTCCCACTACCAACTTGAATATTTTCTGTTGGTCTTTTTTCAGTTTCTGAGACGTCTGGCACATTTAATGATGATGATGAAGATGATGATGGTGAAACCTTTGCACTACATTCACCTTGAACAATATTTCCAAAAAAGCATTTGGATGCAGCAAATGCAGGAGACTTTTCTTTTTTTGGTTTATTCTTCTTGTCATTGATAGCAAAAATATCTTTCTGGTCAGATTTGTCATCTGCTGTGTATAACGCTGCATGTGGTATTATTCTTTTGTTTTCAGATACTGTCTTCACTGCTTCTTCCAGGTCATCATAAAGCTCCCACACATCTGGAGCTCTTCGACAGTATGCAACATAATGTCCAATATAATCTGCGGTCGAGCTGCCCCTGAAAGCGATGACACCTCTCAATGTGAACGTCTTTTCTTGTAGAGCCATATTGGATGGAAATTCTCTCAAAGAAAAATCGGTTTCGTTGTCAAGTTCCAGGTCAATGCATACTATTTCCCCAAAGCTGTAGCTGTGAGTAACATCTCCAATGCAGAGCATGTCTCCTGGGGTGTCGCCTTCCATTTTACATCCGTCGGGACATTCTGATTCATTTAGTAGTTTTTGACAGCACAGAGACTCGGAAAGGAAGAGTCCGTTTTCCACTGAAGTCTTAAGTTGAGTCATTCCACATTCCATCAGGACTGAAATGTCAGGTGAAACAAACGATACTTTCCTTGTATCTCCCTTGTTTAGCTGGCAGTACTGTGAAGAACAGTGTTTCGAGAGGTAAGCGCTGGGTACATTTGTCATTGATCTTCCAATGAGCCCAGAGATAGAGCCTGAGCATCGATATGGTAGTCACCAGGCCACACCTCGAGGTTTTGAAACATTGTACTAAGCAGCAATGCCCTCTGTGAATATATATCTGGGGTCACCCCATCTGTAGCTATAGATTTAACCAGCTGCAAGATGGGAGTGTCACTGTTCTTCCTTACAACATTTTGAAAAGCTGAGCTGTCACAGAAAGCACTGCATAAACACTGACAAAGTGCATCAAATCCACACGTGTTAAACACAGAGAGATTTTCTTGGTCAAATCTACAAGGTCCAAGCTTGTTTCCGTTTTGTAATAGTCCCAACTTGAATCCTTTTGCCTCAAATGATGGATCTGCAAGAAGCCGTTCAGTGCAGGGAGGCGGACGAGAAGTTTCCTGCTTTTTCTGGGCTGGAAGAATTGGTTCCCTACTGTTTTCAACCATACCTTTATCTGTTGGATGATTGTTTGTTATTTGTTCCTGTATTCTTGTATCTTTTGAATGAACTTCCTGACCTGAATTCTGATGGATCTTTTCTGATACGTTTTTCTCACTTTGTGAGACCTTTAGCACATCTGATGCGGCGGTTGAAACTATTGCATGACATTCAGATTTTTGAACGGAGCATTTCCCTTTGGCTTTGCCATCATTTGATGTAGTCATTTCATTAACCTTTTCTTTTTTATTTGCTTTTTCCTTATTAAAGTCAGCAGATATACTTGTAAGCGTCTCCTTTGGTTTCGGCGCAGGTTTCTTCTTGGTTTCCAAGTCTTGAGTGGATGAAATCTCCTGTTTTACCTTACATTTCCCACTACCAACTTGAATATTTTCTGTTGGTCTTTTTTCAGTTTCTGAGACGTCTGGCACATTTGACGATGATGATGAAGATGATGATGATGATGGTGAAACCTTTGCACTACATTCACCTTGAACAATATTTCCAAAAAAGCATTTGGATGCAGCAAATGCAGGAGACTTTTCTTTTTTTGGTTTATTCTTCTTTTCATTGATAGCAAAAATATCTTTCTGGTCAGATTTGTCATCTGCTGTGTATAACGCTGCATGTGGTATTATTCTTTTGTTTTCAGATACTGTCTTCACTGCTTCTTCCAGGTCATCATAAAGCTCCCACACATCTGGAGCTCTTCGACAGTATGCAACATAATGTCCAATATAATCTGCGGTCGAGCTGCCCCTGAAAGCGATGACACCTCTCAATGTGAATGTCTTTCCTTGTAGAGCCATATTGGATGGAAATTCTCTCAAAGAAAAATCGGTTTCGTTGTCAAGTTCCAGGTCAATGCATACTATTTCCCCAAAGCTGTAGCTGTGAGTAACATCTCCAATGCAGAGCATGTCTCCTGGGGTGTCGCCTTCCATTTTAAATCCGTCGGGACATTCTGATTCATTTAGTAGTTTTTGACAGCACAGAGACTCGGAAAGGAAGAGTCCGTTTTCCACTGAAGTCTTAAGTTGAGTCATTCCACATTCCATCAGGACTGAAATGTCAGGTGAAACAAACGATACTTTCCTTGTATCTCCCTTGTTTAGCTGGCAGTACTGTGAAGAACAGTGTTTCGAGAGGTAAGCGCTGGGTACATTTGTCATTGATCTTCCAATGAGCCCAGAGATAGAGCACTGAGCATCGATATGGTAGTCACCAGGCCACACCTCGAGGTTTTGAAACATTGTACTAAGCAGCAATGCCCTCTGTGAATATATATCTGGGGTCACCCCATCTGTAGCTATAGATTTTACCAGCTGCAAGATGGGAGTGTCACTGTTCTTCCTTACAACATTTTGAAAAGCTGAGCTGTCACAGAAAGCACTGCATAAACACTGACAAAGTGCATCAAATCCACACGTGTTAAACACAGAGAGATTTTCTTGGTCAAATCTACAAGGTCCAAGCTTGTTTCCGTTTTGTAATAGTCCCAACTTGAATCCTTTTGCCTCAAATGATGGATCTGCAAGAAGCCGTTCAGTGCAGGGAGGCGGACGTGAAGTTTCCTGCTTTTTCTGGGCTGGAAGAATTGGATCCCTACTGTTGTCAACCATACCTTTTTCTTTTGAATGATTGTTTTTTATTTGTTCCTGTATTCTTGTATCTTTTGAATGACCTTCCAGACCTGAATTCTGATGGATCTTTTCTGATACGTTTTTCTCACTTTCTGAGACCTTTAGCACATCTGATGCGGCGGTTGAAACTATTGCATGACATTCAGATTTTTGAACGGAGCATTTCCCTTTGGCTTTGCCATCCTTTGATGTAGTCATTTCATTAACCCTTTCTTTTTTATTTGCTTTTTCCTTATTAAAGTCAGCAGATATACTTGGAAGCGTCTCCTTTGGTTTAGGTGCAGGTTTCTGCTTGGTTTTCAAGTCTTGAGTGGATGAAATCTCCTGTTTTACCTTACATTTCCCACTACCAACTTGAATATTTTCTGTTGGTCTTTTTTCAGTTTCTGAGACGTCTGGCACATTTGATGATGATGATGATGGTGAAACCTTTGCACTACATTCACCTTGAACAATATTTCCAAAAATGCATTTGGATGCAGCAAATGCAGGAGACTTTTCTTTTTTTGGTTTATTCTTCTTGTCATTGATAGCAAAAATATCTTTCTGGTCAGATTTGTCATCTGCTGTGTATAACGCTGCATGTGGTATTATTCTTTTGTTTTCAGATACTGTCTTCACTGCTTCTTCCAGGTCATCATAAAGCTCCCACACATCTGGAGCTCTTCGACAGTATGCAACATAATGTCCAATATAATCTGCGGTCGAGCTGCCCCTGAAAGCGATGACACCTCTCAATGTGAATGTCTTTTCTTGTAGAGCCATATTGGATGGAAATTCCCTCAAAGAAAAATCGGTTTCGTTGTCAAGTTCCAGGTCAATGCATACTATTTCCCCAAAGCTGTAGCTGTGAGTAACATCTCCAATGCAGAGCATGTCTCCTGGGGTGTCGCCTTCCATTTTACATCCGTCGGGACATTCTGATTCATTTAGTAGTTTTTGACAGCACAGAGACTCGGAAAGGAAGAGTCCGTTTTCCACTGAAGTCTTAAGTTGAGTCATTCCACATTCCATCAGGACTGAAATGTCAGGTGAAACAAACGATACAGATTGCGTGAAGACAGCAGGTCTTCACTCCTGTTTGTGGACCTTAACGGACCTCCTCTGGACTAATTCAACCCATTTCCATTCGTCAGAAGCTGGATTAAAGCAGGACGTGCGTGCATGAAAGAGAGAGACAGACAGTCTTTGTGCATGTGTGTGTTTTCATAGACAGTCTATTCAGGCTCTTGCCCGCTCCACCAGATTCACAGAAAGCTTCATCCACCAAGCTGTCAGGAAGCTGAACCCCCCTCAAAAAAAAATCACTCTGGACAAACTGTCTCCTGCACTACTATTAATGCTATATTTATTTACTGTTCTTTTGCACTGTTACTGTAACAAATGCTACATCTTACATAATTGGTAATAATAATAATTTTTCTGCTGCCATTACCATCTGCCTTTTTGCACTAGCATAAGTATTGCATATTTTATATTATTGTACATTTTATATTTTATTGTGAAATTGAATGTTTAAATTTTATTATTAGGAACTGATCTTATCTGTTGTGCCTGTGCACTTTATCGGTTTCACTGTTGGTGAAATAGAAACGTCCTCTCCAGTCCGTATGTCTGGTGAATCTGAAGAATTGACATTAAAGCTGACTTTGAAATATTGAGAAAATTTAGATCGGTATTGCGCAACAATCGGGAGATGGGTACCCCCCCAAATATTGACAGGTATTTCGCACACTGTCCAAAATCATTATCCTACCTCCATTCCTGTCATCACATAGTGGGAAAACACAAAGTTGCTTCATATCATAGTGTCAGTAATTATGCAAAAGCTGCTTAAGTGGCTATAAATACAGAACATCTCAGACATTCAGTCATCAAACTGACCAGATCAGAGCAAATCGGTGATTGAATTGTTTCAACCTGTCCAGCTCTCCTAACATGAAGACGTTCACCGTTGCCATCGCTGTGGCCCTCGTGTTCACTTTTATCTGTATCCAGGAGAATTCAGCTGTCACTGCAACTGAGGTGACGGAGGTGCTGACTGATGATGGAACACTCACTGCAGACCACGACATGCCAGAAGAATCCTGGAATGCACGTTAAGATTTTTAGTCCACTGCTTTGAAAATAATCTCAGAGTCAAAATAGGTTTATTAACAAAAAGTTATTACTCTTTTCACACACAGGCGCAGTATGACTTGGTCCAGATGCGCCGCCGTCGTCGTCGCTGCCGTTTCTGCTGTGGCTGCTGTCCAAACATGATCGGCTGTGAACCTGCTGCAAATTCTGAGGAGTCCTGGCACCAGCCTGCAAACACTTAAACCATTACAGAGATGTATTTATTTCACAGATAAAGTAGTTCTGCTGTTTAAACTGTTATGTCATTTGAATAAAAATAATATTCTGATTTGACTTGTGAACAATTTTTCACAATAAAAGTAATTCTTACCAGCAAATGTGTGCAGTTTTTCTATATAAATCACCTAGGCCTCGTTGTTTATCACTAAAAGACAATTAAAATCAGTTGCTTCAAATTCTATTTTGTGAAATGTGCTATATAAATAAAATGTATCATATCAGTCTTACAGTATGTATGTGTTTATACTATAAATAGTATATATAAAGAAAGAGTAATTGTAAGAGGCTGTAAAATTAATAAGTATGGAAGCTATATGCAGATTATACAGGAAAGTTAGGATATGGATTTTATATACATATGATAAATAAGCGGATAAATAAATGGATAAATAAATTATGACAAATAATAGATAAAAGGTCCTTAGTAAGTATTTCAAACATGAACATGTGTGGGTGTATTGTTTATGTCAGCTATTTTACGACAAATTTTTGAAAAGACCCGCTCTCTCCATTGGGTTGTTGATGCACGACCCCATTTCTCCTTGTTTTACTAGTGATGTGAGATGGATTTCTCCAAATAGCATACCAAACTTTACCTGTCGAGTACAAACACTTTGCAACTGAGGCATTAGTGGGAAGCCAACTTGTGCTTTCAGTGTACGCCATCAAGTGAAAGAATCTCCCAAAAACACTCTGGTCTTGTTTCTCTTTTCTGAGGCCTTTCTTCTCATACACTTTGTAGACTCTTTTTCTTTTACGACCCCTGGCTATTTTCAAATAACCTCGGTAAAAAAGGTGAGCTTCAGGCCCCGTATACACACAGCCGAACCCTGGCCTAAACGCACAAATTTTTCACCAAACCAGCCTCTCATCCACACGAAGCCGGCGTTTCGGAAGTCTGTAAACAATCTTTTTTTTATTCAGCCTTCAGAGTGGGAAGATTCTGAAACGCTGTTTTCGCGTTTCCATCTTTAAGCTCTAACCGCATTTTTTTTTTTACACGCATGCGTCATAGCGTCGCCTCTAAACACGCAATATCTCCAGGAAGAACAGAGCAATATCGACGACATAGTTCAGCACCTGAATTTGACTTAACCACGAAAATGGACCCGCAGGGCAACCATGTATAAATATTAGTGCGCATGCCCAACATTTCGTTGCTTATTTTTGCTTTGGCACCACAGCGCCACTTACAGGCCTGGCATACATTTTGCAGCGTTTTCATGCATTTATTTTACGTCTCCGTCTTTAAGACAAACGTTTTGGAAAATATCAGCGTTTCGTGTTCGTTTTGACTTCGTGTGGACGGGGCCTCAATGACTGACTGAAACTGACAATTAGTAGGACCACTTACAGTATTTAGATGATTCACCCGGAAAAATTACATCCTCCACTATACCCTTAAGTTTAGAAGTATGGTCTGTGTATGAGTGGGAGATTGCATGCAATCAAGGTCCAGGTGCCTCCCATTCGCAGTGTCCAGTATTTCTCATCAGTCATTATTGGTCTTCCACTTGATCTCGGCATATGTTGGTGTAAGCGTGAGCTGTTGTAACCTCCAGATGTGAAGGTGAGAGTTTTAAGCCTGTTTATGCTTATTTTAATGCAAAAAGTGAATTGTTTTATAGTTGTTCTGTTGTGTTACTGAATTTGGCTAATGCAGACAGCAAAGCAGGGGCTGAAATCACCGGTTCAAAGACTGAAGAGATATAGGCTGGTTTTTAAATAATTTATTTAGAAGTATTTTAGGTATGTGGTAGAAACAGAGTGATTGTAAACTAAACACTGCAAGAACACCAAGGCAACCTTACAATTTCATGCTTACAATACAATAGATGAGATTTGCAAGATTTAGGAAATATATTCTATTTATTGAAAATACCAAAAAGGCAATATGTTAATGTTTCTTTAAAGATAGTATAAAGTGGATAGTATTAGAAATGCATAAGAGGCTCAGTAAGTGGACTAAAAAAACAATATTCTACAGTTTTTTAGAAAACCAAAAATAAGTTTTCAGTTTGTGAAACCATCATTCTATTAGTGGGAAAAAGTGTACAGTAGCTTTCCCCCCAAAATTTTGCCTTTTCTCATGAACCCGGTATTCACTATCATCTCCTTTTGAAACCACTTTTAACTGACTGATACGCTATCTGATGGATAAAAATAGTCATCTGAGAACTTAAACTTTAGAGCAGTATTTTAGATATAGAATAGAAGGTGCAAACAAATGAGTCAAGCAAAGTTCTTTGTCTCTGTGAAGGCAAGATATCAAAATTAGTTGAAATGGTCACAAAGATTAAGAGTGCACAAACCCAGCTTTAAGAAAATTCACAATCAATCCATATGGGTTTTACTTAACAGCATGAAATATCATCTTATACTTTCTATATTTCTTTATGTTTTCATTTAGAAAATTGGAGACTTTAATATGGTTTAATATAATGGTACAAAAATATGTTAGTGTTAAATCCATCTGTGTCATTTGAGGTTTGCTAATGTGGTAGAGAATACCTTTATAAGCTTGGGCATCTTCTGGGAGCAGCCTTGTTGCTCCAGGTGTTCAAAATGTAGATCTACATATCCAATTTACCCATACCTATCAAACCAAAAAGCATAAAATGATTAGAAAGAAACACAAGAAACATAAAGCAAAGAAATCCACATATAGTGTTATTTAAATCTCACGAATATAAGAATATGCTGTGGTTCAGCAGAACACTGGGAGCTTTTGTAAGACATTTAAAAAGATTAACCCCTCTTTTTTGAAAAGATGAAAAGAACACATAAAACAGAAAACCTGATGCATTTAACATTTTTAAAAGAAAGTCTTCCCTTTGAAGATGCTTTAAAATACAACTCGACAGCAAAATTAATGTTTTAAAAAAAAAACATTTAAAATTACTGCACTCTTGCATAATTCACAGAACCCATGTTCATTTTGATTTCTTCCACCTGTCACAGAAATATCAAGTAAAGTACAGAATTGTTAGTCTTATTGTGCTTAGCTCTTCTGCCCCCCATCAAAAACTCAGATTTGAAATGAATGCATTCAGAACACACATACCTAATCCACACCTTTCTTCTACAGTACAGCCTCATTTAATGAATTATTTATTTTCCAAAATGTATACAAAGCTTTCAGATTTGCATCGTGTTTTAGACCCTTTTCTTCACCATAAATTAACTTTCTTTTCTGTCGCAATATGACCCTCGCCTTAACCCGGTGATAACGAGTATAGGAAGCCAGAAACTACGACTTATTGTTCCCTGTCCACCAAACTGATTCAGTGAGATTCTGCTTTTTGTTGGGAATTCTATCTTGTTGGTTAAATTTTGCAATCCGTTCATGTTTTTCACATGGGGCCTCTCAGATGATCGTTTACCCTCAGGATGCTTGGACTGTGTTCAGGCAGATAATCAACCAGGGCATTTTAAAGTGAACGTGTTTCTGCCGAAGCAGACCCACGAAGCGCTGTCTGGTCTGTAAAGAGGATCCTGTAAGCTGAATCTGAGTTTCCAGTCACAAATTCACTGAATGGGAGCAGCGCTGCTCCTCTGGGGAAATAGCTATAAACTGGAAGTTAGCTACATGAGGAAGATGTGCTCATTTATATTGCTGAACCTTTTTAAAATGACTTGCAAGTTGATTTTGACTGGTTCTTATGACACATTGGTACATTTAATCAATGAATGTATGTACTTTTTCATCTTTTGTGTTGTACCTTCTACTTATAAAATTATTTTTTTTACACTTAATGATCAATAAAAGGCCTTACCAGCCGTACTGGTTCTACAGGTCATTAGACATGCAAGCAAATAGCTTTTGATATCAGCGTATTTGCATGGTGGGTTGTTGGTAGTCCCTTCTAGTTTAACTTTTAACATTGACATATGCTTCAGGATTATTTAGGGTGACCAGATTTGGGTTTCTGAAAAGAAGGATACTTTTTTTTTTATGGGGGGACCAGCCATCAGCTCCGGGGTCCAGGTCTGGAGCCAGTCGAGGATGAAGCAACCTAACCCGACCCGGTGACAGTATGCATCCCCCCTCCTGCCCAAAAATATACAAAGGCTTGAAATTGAATAAAAATGAGTGTGCCCCATCTGGCTAAAGTAGAAGAACAATTTGACATAGATTTGGAGTCAGTGGGTCACATGACCTGGAAGCTATTGAAGAAATATCAATTATTTTTGTAATAAAAATAAAAAAAAAATATGCAAAGGCTTAAAATGGAATAAAATGAGTGTGCCTCATCAGGCTAAAACAATATCACAATGAATTTGAGTCATTAGGTCACATGATGTGGAAGCTATTGAAGAAAAGTCCCAACTTTTGTCTTTAAACATATCTTAAAAATTAAAATAGCTTAAAATTGCATAAAAGCAAATGTTACATATTTTATTTATTGGCATGATTTTATATTAGTTTAATTTTAGCTGGTCATAAGATAAGGAATTTATTGATTTTTGTTTGTCAAGATTGCTTGGTTCAAGGATATGTTGACGGTCCCTTACTGCACCACCACGTGCGGGAGGAGGGAGCAGATGAGAAACGCTGGCCGACATTGGAGTCCCTCAGTCGGATCAACCGTTTGCTAGATCTCGCTGACTCCGCGGAGCTTGAATATCCAATATCCAACTTCAAACCAACCTCACAGCGGTGCTCACGGCTCGGTCGGCTGCACTGTAGCTGACCAAAATCCCGGACTATTTTGAAATTCCCCCCAGAAATTTTTTTAGTTATGAAAAGTAGGACATGTCCGGAAAAAAGAGGACGTCTTGTCACCCCAGGATTAGTGGCGGGGGAGTAACGCAATAATGATGGCGGCCTAGTGGTTCGGGCATAGAGCTTGGAATCCTGAGGTTCCTGAAGTTCAAGCCCCACTCCCACTGACTGCCACTCTGGTTCTCTAAGCAAAAGACCCCTAAACCCAAACTGCTCCCCGAGTGTCGCACAATGGCAGCCCAAAGCTCCCCAATGGGATGGGTTAAATGCAGAGAGTTAATTTCCGTGCTCTGTACTTGTGACAGTGTATTGACAATAAAAGCTGGAAAAATAAATAAAAGTCACAAGGTTTTTTCATATGTTTTTTTTTCTAGATAGGAAGATATTCATTACCATCTTGCTACGACTTACAGCTAGATCTGGATTTATAGCCATGGGGATATACAGGCATAAAGAAGAAAATGCAGCTCAGATATCAGTTCTGATACCCAACAAAGCACACCATGTTATGTGATTTCTCATTTGGCCAGAGGAATCATCCATCAGAGGTGACCCTATTCTAACCTACATTAAAGAGCACACATATCCCGCATAAAAAAACAAAACTCTCCATCAGAAGGATTGGCTTTACTAATACACAAAACTTATTGTGTATATATTATAGCACCAAAAGCAAACACTGTGAATTCATTTGATTTAGAATGATTTTCCACACTAAACAAAAGGTAATTTGTACATTTTTTTGTAAATTACAGAGAAAGAAAGAGCACAATGACCCTTGTGGGTGCAAAAAAATATTAAGCAGAACATGAATCACGTTCTCAGATTCTAAGTTGCTTTCTGTGTCCTTGGCTTATGCACATCGTCATTAGTAAAGGGTAAAGGAGGAACATTTGAAATTCATTTTTTTTACTGGGAACAACCTTCTCTTGACCTCATCAAAATATTTTCCATTGGTAAGAAAAATTATGGTACCTCATTTCTACAAAGGCGACTGTAGAAATGCTATGATGTTTTCAGGTAGTTGAAAGGTTAAACTAACTACCTTGAGAGGAGGATGCCTTGCCTCCTCTGCATATCTGGTAAAATCATCAGAGGAAATATTTCTTTATCCCCACATCTTCCTATAGTAACTATAAAATAAAATGTAAGATAGCCAATGACTGTTGAAATAAAGGCATCCAGTAGCTACAGAGAACAAAGAATGTTTGAAGAATAAAGGGTTGGGAAGAAAAAGTACATCTCTTACACTGCAATGCAAAGGCCGGCCTCTTGGGTTGATACTTCATCCAGCGCTGTGGTGGATATATTTCAGAAAACAAAGGAATATCTAAAGGGGAAATAAAAAAAGAAAAAGAAGTGTAAAAATAACATTATTCCTGCTGATGAATACTCTATTCCAAAGACATATGAGGCAAGCAACGCAGACAAATTTAAGAAAAGCCATCTCTCTGGATTTCCTGTATCTGGTCATTCCCAGTATCTGACGTGGGTTGAGATTAGGCATGTCTAACTAAAGTTCACATGCATTATGGGTTCTTTTTCTAAATTAAAATTCTTTTTTTTTTTTGGACTCTGTGAGAAAGTTAGAATACCCAAGAGAAAACCAAACACAGGCTGTGGGAGAACATGCAACACCCACACAAAAACACTCCTGCTGAGATTCACTAGAATCCAATATACAGTATTTAATAAACTGATGTAATGGGAAGCTCAGTGTTTGCACCTTTCTGCTTTCCTCTCCCCCGATTCTTTTCTGTGAAGAGATCACTCAGAACAAGCACTTTAAAAAACACTTCATAATGTATATGTATTAAATGACTATAACACATAGTTTAACAGGTTTAACAGAATTGATCTTACTCAGACTAGAGAAAATGGCTCAGGTTACAAAATGGCAGCGCTTTATACCATCGGACTCGATTCTTCAGAAAGTCAGTAGCCAGAATAACATTGCAAACTGACAAAGCTGTCTGTTAAGAATGATCCACTCTATCCTAATTGGATAAATTAATTGGGAAAACTTTAGCATTAATACATGGCAGACGGGTGTTATAAGGATTTAACCAGCAGATACATGATTCATAAAGACAATTCTGACATTGACATTCATACTCCTTGTCATGGTTCTCCTCTTTTGGGACTCTGAGTTTTTAGTTTTCAGTTATTAATTATTTTGTTTTCTTGATCTTTGGTTTATTTTCCATTATATTCAAGCATTCTTTACTTATTCTCTGTTACCCCCTTGTGCTTGTTTCCTTTCCTCTTGGCATCCTTCTAGTTTGGCTAGATTCACACTGCAATCTGAAGTGACCCAAATCCAATTTTTTTGCCAATATGCGACCTGTATCTGATCTTTTCATGGCTGTCTGAACAACACAGATCTGATTTTTTCTAATACAACCCAGGCCACTTGGCTATGTGGTCCTGAGTCCAATACGAATCTGATCTCAGTGCTAGTTCCTTGTTGTTGTTTGCTTTTTCCCCTCATCTTTGGCTTCCCACATGAATTTTCCCAGATTTTTTTGGCAGTTACTTAATTGAAATTGTAAGATTCACCTCTGTCTTCTGGTCTCTGCATTTGGGTCCTATATCAACCTCCATAAAAATCATGACACTCCCTCAATCTTCTCATATTTTGGGTTCATAACCACAAACATTAAAGTGTTTAATCAAGGTTGTATGCTATGAAATAACACAAAATAGCCAAAAAGTGGATAAAACATACACGGTTTTCAAAATATGGCTGAACAATGATGCAGTTTTTAGCACAAAAATCCTGGGTTTGATTCCCAGCCGAGGGTCTCTCTGCATGGAGATTGAATGTTCTTCCTGTGCATGCGTACGTCCCCTCTGGGTACTCTGACTTTCTCCCA